TGTCTTTTTTGAGGTAGTCTTGCTCTTGTCCCCCAGGCTGGAGTGCAATGGTGCAATCTGGGCTCACTGCAACATCTGCCTCCTGAACCTCTGACAGGTGCAGGTGATTCTCCTGCCTCGGCTTCCTGAATAGCTGGGATTACGGGTGCCTGCCACCATGCCTGGCTAATTTTTGTATTTTTAGTAGAGTCAGGGTTTCACCATGTTGGCCAGGCTGGTCTTGAATTCCTGATCTCAGGTGATCTGCCCGCTTCTGCCTCCCAAAGTGCTGGGATTACAGTCATGAGCCACCATGCACAGCCTAATTTTGAAATAATTACTATTTGAACCAAAAAGTGTATATTTAGCTAACTTATCTTTCACATATATAGGCAAGAAAAAAATTATGGTAAGATAAGCAATTATACATGTACTCTCCTGAAAACTACTTACAATCTACAACAGTACAAGGGGAAAAAAAAAAAAAACAAGAATGGAAGATATAAAGAATAGAAGTATTAGAAGTGAGCATTGACATCATTTAGTCATAAAATTAAGTTTAAATGATCTAGTATATACATTCATTCATTCAAAGCAAATTTGTTGAGTGCCTCGGATGTCAATCCTTTCCATATTAATCCATGAATTTAATTTAGTTCCAATTAAAATGCCAATAGGAGTCTTTGAAGTTTAGTCTAAACACTTACACAAGCAAATGTGTGAAAACAGCTTCATATTTTTTAGAAATAAAATTCAAGCATGCAGAATTGTTCTACAAGTCACCAGAATTTATTACGATGGTACAATAATGAAGACAAATGTTACTAGCATTAGATAAAAACATTCATAGAGCTGAATGAAGAGCCTGGAAATAGTACAGGTACATAGAATAGGAGGAAAAGTATTGACTAAAGATATGGGAAGAACTGTGATCCATAAAGGCAAGGTACAAAGTCAAATAATTACTACATACCATATGTAAAACTAAATTCCAGATAATAGAAACAACAGAGATTCTTTAAATATTCCAGAAAGAAAATCTGAAGATTATTCTTACAGAATTCTGGCAAGGAAAATGTTCTTAAGCAAGATCCAAAAGCAGAAGTAATAAAACAAAGGATAACAGCACACACAAAGTTACAAATGCACTGTGACAACATATAGATAACTAGTTGAAATGAAATGTGAAAATATTTGCCACATAAATAGGAATATATATACTGTATATAGAATTATATATTTGTAATACAAATGGCCTATAAATAATGACAAAGAAAATAATGTGCCGCTCATACTAAAAAATAAATTTTATTTTAAAAACCAAAAAGGTTAATAAATGTACTGAATGATGTACAGTGTCATTAGGGAGATGCAAATTAAAATAAGATACCAATTTTTCATTAACTAGTTGGCTAAAAATTATGAAAGATTAATAGGAGCCAGTGTTAGCAAGAGTGTGGAGGGAAAGGCAATTGGGAGGTGAATTTGGCAGCAATTATCGAAGTGTAAATTTTACATACTCTTCATAGCATAATTCCACTGCTAGGAATCTATGTAACCCAAAAATGTGCAAAATGTATATTATACTATATTATACGATAATGTTTGTTGCTGCCTTTAATTTATTAGTTAAAAAGAGAAAGCTATATTAACATCCACAACAATAGAGGAGTAATTAAATAAGTTAAAATGGTGCATTGGTTCTTGGTTGACTTTTTGCATAAATTGATTCCTCCCTCCCTCCCTCTCTCCTTCAGTGGTTTGTGTAGTAAGAGATGATCTTCAGCTGGCTGCTTTTTCTAGCCTTCTCTCTCAACTGGCTTTTGACTCATTTAGTCTGTGGTAGTCTATTGTCACACTGCTATAAAGAACTACCTGAAGGAGTAATTGTAAAGAAAGGGGTTTTAGTTGGCTCACTGTTCTGCAGGCTGTACAGGAAACATGGCCAGGGAGGCCTCAGGTAACTTTCGGTCACAGTAGAAGGGGAAGCAGGCGTGTCTTAGATGACCAGAGCAGGAGGAAGAGAAGAGGGAAGTGCTACACACTTTTAAACAACCAATCTCGAGAATCCGCTCATTATCAGGAGAACAGCAAGAGGGTCATCTACCATCATGAGCCAATCACCTAACACAAGGCCCCTCCTCTGGCCTTGGAGATTTGGGCAGGGACACAAATCCAAACCATGTCGTAGCCTAACGGGAAGTACTGTTGAGAGATTGGTCAGCAGCAAGAAGGGAAAAGCCATAGTACTTCTCTTCCCTCTCTGCCATGGGTATTATTGCTGGCATTGATTGGCTTTGCTCCATGGGAAATGCCCTTGCTAGACAAGCCGGTTGTGGTTCCAACTTTCCCTAGACAAAAATGATTTGTCTAGCAAGAGCATTTCCCATGGAAGGTACAGCCCCTTCTCTGCCTTCTCCGTTTGTCCCTACAGTTTAACAATGCTAGTGGCTTCCTATTGGTACGAATCTCTAGATTACCTCCTTTTTCCTGCTTCGCTTTTTACTTCTCCCATCATTTGTGTAACAACTTTTTTGCATAAAATTGCCTCTGCTTTAAAAAGTTAAAAATAATTTAGTGTTGCTGATTGACATGTACAGACACACTTTTGCAGCCAGTAAAAACAAAAACAGTATATACCTGTTTAACCATATACTGAAAAAAAAAGTTCCTGATAAGTTATTGACTGCAAGAGGAAAGTTGCTGTATCTTATGTTTGATGTGGTCCATTGAAAAACTGAACCATTATGTGTATATAGAAATGTATTTGTATAATAACAATAATAACCACTTTGTGGAGAAAAACAGATATGGAAAAACCCCACTAAGAGGATATGTTATTCCTGTGAAATGAAAGTGAAGGTGTGCATACTTACTGAGAAGAAAGGATGTTGTAACTTTTTACTTGATATATAGCTAATTTGTTTGGATTTTTTTCTCTCATAATGTATCATATTGTTAATTTCCAAAATTTTTTAAAAGAAGGTAATAAAACGTTATGCCTAATATGATCATTTTTATTAAATTTTTTTTTTGAGACAGAGTCTTGCTCTGTTGCCCGGGCTGGAGTGCATCGATGCGATCTCTGCTGTCTGCAACCTCCACCTTTCAGGTTCAAGGAATTCTCCTGCCTCAGCCTCCTTAGTAGCTCGGATTACAGGTACCTGCCACCACATCCAGCTAATTTTTACATTTTTAATAGAGATGGGGTTTCACCATGTTGGCCAGGCTGGTCTCAGACTCCTGACCTCACTTGATCCGCTCATCTCAGCCTCCTAAAGTCCTGAGATTACAGGCATTAGCCACCATGCCCAGCCACTGTTATTAAAAATTAATAACCATATGTATTTATTTGTAATGGGAATGGTCTGAAAGGACAGCCAGTTCTGCTGTAACATGTGCTTTGAGATTAAATTTGTTCCAACGTGATTAATATACTAAAAAATATTTTGAGCATAGTACCTATGCTCATGTGTGACTTTATTCAGTGAAAAACTGTAGGTGAACTTTAAAAAACTGAACTGAAAAGGTGAAAGGCTTAGGATGCACAAAATGCACACACCACTTTTAGCAGCACTCTCCCTTCACCTATGTGTTGTGGACCATGACACCCACGTGTCATATTACAACCTTCTGTCTGATGTCAGATAACCCGTATTTCAACAAGCTAAAGTAACTTGCCGTTTGCAAATCTTCCAATGCATAATTTTCAAAACAAGTTTCAGGTCTTTTTCAAGGTAAAACACCATATCCATTTTAGTGTTTATGTATGTCTTAACCATGTAACATGTAAAAGTGTGCTACCATTTTTGTTAGACTCTGATCTTTTTTTTGTTCCTTGTGGGTGATTATGAAGTTTTGAGTATTTTACCGTAATTACATTTTTCCGTAAGTCCTGTGGTTTTCATTGCACAATTTTGTACAGTATGGTGATTTTTAGGAATGCATATATCATATTATAGCAAAACAGACTGTACATATACCAAGATATTGATAGTGATTTGGGCAGTTATTGCTTATCTATAGTTTCTACATTTTTCTCTTTTTAAAATATTTTTTTATTATACTTTAAGTTCTGGCGTACATGCGCAGAACATGCAGGTTGGTTACACAGGTACACACCAGCCATGATGATTTGCTGCACCCATCAACCCATCATCTACATTAGATATTTTTCCTAATGCATTCCCTCCCCCACTCCCCACCCCCAGACAGGCCCCAGTGTGTGATGTTCTCCTCCCTGTGTCCATGTGTTCTCATAATTTAATTAGATCTATGTAAACATCTTTAAAAGATGAGATGGCACCCAAAGGCTGATTACAGCTATTCTGGGTAAAGGGCTGCGGCTGTTCTGGCAAGCTCCATACATTCACTGGTAAGGTAATAAATTAAGTGCCCTCAAATCTACTTAAAAGGCACAATCACTTATGCTCTTTCTGTGAAACAGAAATAGGTCTCACAGCAACATATTGGCACCTTCTTTAATCAGAAAGTCCCCATAAGTACTCAGAGGAATACAGATGTGACTAGCCAAGTTTCCACTAAAAAATATAGACTATATAATAAGCCAAATGCCCCTAAACTGGTTTTCAAACATTCAGAAGTTGTAATAGCATGATTCAGATACAGAAATATAGATAGCCTATAAGGACCCAGATATTCGGTGCTTACTGACTTTCAAGCTATTATTAAGTAGCACACCTATAGCCTGTCCCTGCAGGAGATAAAGAGACTGCAAACTTGAACATGTTGTGGAGTTTTAAATGAGGAGAGAAAATTTTTTTCTATGTGATTTGATGCTTGAATTTCCATCCACTTTCTCAGCGTGAACTTATACCTGTGTTATCACATTTTTTTCTTTCCAAGACGCTATCGTGATTTTTTTGCTCTTCTTTTTTTTTCAGTAGTAACTTGCTCCACCTACAGTCAAACTGCATTGTATGACTTTGATTTGGGTATGAGTCCTCTTTTCCCTCCCCCACATGCCCTGTTTCTGGCCTAGCGCCCACTGAACTCTGAACTTGTTCTTGAGCCTTGTATTTTTCTGTCTCTCTGTACAGAATCTGCTGTTGGCTGTGCTCTCAATGGAGCTTTGGTTTTAGCTGTTCTCTAACAAAGAGCTTGTTCTGAGCTGCACATCTCGTCCTCATTTTTCAGCCTCTGGCTTCAACCGCTGAATCCCAAATATTCTCCAGCTGGGAATCAGACAAGGGCAGAAATGAAGAACCCAGAAGCCCAACAGGAGGTTTCAGTTTCCCAGGGATTTCGCGTGATGTTTTACATGATGAAGCCCAGTGAAACTTCATTCCAAACATTAGAAGAGGTGCCTGATTATGTAAAAAAGGTGAGCCTATATTGGAAGAGGCTACTTTTACTCTTGCTTCTTTCTTAAGAAATGGTAAGGTCAACCTCCTGAGCGTTTTGTTCACTTTCATTATTTGAATTATTAAATTCTAATAATTCCGTTTCTTAAAGGCAGGAAGCAAAAGTAGAATATCTGCTTGAATTGAATTTCCTTACAATCCATAGCATCCTCACCTGTAAATTCCCTCCTTTATATGTCACTCCAGAATATCATAAAAACAAAATCTTAACGTTTTCCTGGACTCCGTGGCATTGTAAATGTCGCTGTTGGAAGCTCAATGTCAGTTATACCATATCAGTAAAGTTTGTAACAATTTCATTTTTAAATCTTTAGCTTGTCCGCCCCTTCCAAGGAAACTATTTCCTCTTTCATTTGGTAGAGTAGTTCTGTACAATGAAGAATATGCAGCTTGACCAGGTCCAACTCTGACTTCCTAAGTTTGAATGTGAACCAAGTTTTCTTTGAAACTTTGAAGTGCTCGGAGGTACATTTCACTTCTGGTTCTTGGCTATGATTGAAAGTGGAAATATCCAGAATTAGAACTTGAATCCTGAAGTTCCCCAGCCTACCGAAGTTGTTCCTCCAACAGTCACTAGTTCATGTGGGAAATAGAAAACAAAATTGACATCACACACTATGTTATTGAGAGTCCAGTTTAGAAAGCTTCAAAACTCATGATTAGCTTCCAAATAAGTAAAATCCATATATTTTTCAAGATTAAATATTATACTTTCTTTCTGATTTTTAAGTAGAAAAAGTGGCATTGATATCTTCATAAATTATTATTGCTTATACTGCAACACCAAACCGAATTAAATGCTCCATCATCAATAGTGGAGCCTTCAAAACATCACTTATTATGTGAAACAAATCAAAACCAAATGAATAAAATCTGAATCATGTTTTAAGCAAACATTAAAATTACCATATTTTCTAAAATTCTAAGAAGAAAATTGTCTCTACTCTTTCAGTTTCATCATTAGGAATATAGTTCGTGTAATTCTAACACAAAAATTAGAATTTTGTGCATCTTTAAGGGAAGCCTCTTGAAGTGGATCTAGATTATACATTTAGAGACAATAGACTTCTAATTATTTGCCTTATTCTAAATTTATTTTTAAATGTATTTTGGAAGATGTTCCTCCCAATCTTATAATTTTATAATTATGGTTATATCGGTGATCATATTTCATATTCAAATTGGATGATATAATTTGAGCACATATTTAGCATATATCTAAAACAGTTAGACTTCTCTGCCTACTGTGTAGGAAGTAATCTTCTAGAATGGGTGTCTACCATCTCCTGCGGGGCTTCCCAAATCTGGGCCTCTCAATTCTGACATGACTAATCAGGAAATGTAAAATAATTTAATATGGAACATAATGGCATCTCTTTTCTTCAATTTCCTTTCTAGGCAACTCCATTTTTCATTTCCTTGATGCTGCTTGAACTTGTTGTCAGCTGGATTCGCAAAGGGAAGCCACCGGGTCGTTTGGATGATGCTTTAACATCTGTCTCAGCTGGTGTTCTGTCACGACTTCCAGGGTGAGTTAGATGGTTTAACAACACTGAGTGAAAACACTGAAATTTCCTACGTATGAGGGGCAAAGGAACCCACTTCATGGGAGAATTCGTCTATTTACACAAATTTTCCCAAGGAATTCAGTTGATGCTATTATTTAAAATTTTGATATTTTGTTCTTCATTGATTTTTTGCACTCATTTAAAAATTACCCTAAATATTATTTATCTTGACTTTGTTGATATCCCTTTAAAATGAGTGTTTCATTTGCCTTATTGTGATTCCAGCTCTGAGTTATGATCTAGTTCTCTATTAAAATTGTATTTGCCTCTGCCAGGTTCAGAAAGAATAGCTCTCTAGAGTGTAGACACTCCCTAGAGCAGCTCACACAAACCTCTGAATAACTACAATGGTTTCTTAATTGGTGTCCGGCTCTAGTATAATCCCATTTGCAGCCAAACATTTCCATAATATGAATCCAGTAGGAACCCTTCACTGGTTCCCTATTGACTCAAGTATAAGGTACGAATCCCTGTTCTGAACTATAGAGAACATGGTCTGTCTGGCTTTGCTTTTGGGTCCTCCACTCTCCTGTCTCTTTGTCATCTTTATCCCATCATGCTTTACTACTTGCCATTGCCCACATGCCACAGGTACTTCCCTCTGCCTGGAAAGTCATCCATGTGGCCAATTGAGATTCATTTATTAGGCCTAAGCATAGATGTCACACGCCTCAGCAAGCCTTATCTGTTCTCCAAGCTTATGTTAGGCATTCCTACATTACAGTCCCATGGAATTTTGTGCTTATCCCAGATCTAGAATTTTCACATGGCACCAATGCTCACCTCTTTTCTTCCCAGCCCTTCCTGCTAGCTTGTATACAACTTGAGAGCAAGAGGTGTGCGTTCTTCATAGCTTTAGCTCCTGTGCCTGGAATGATGTTTATTGCATGGTAAAGAGTCCAAAAAACAGTGATATCCCTATACTGTTATGTTGACAATAAAATTAGGTGATATTGGGACCAAATGATAGTAAGATGTAAATGGCCTACTATTTTTTAGAAAGAGTATATTATAATGCATGTAGAGGACAGACCGATAAAAGAAAGTCGTCTTCAATGCATGTGGGCTTACCAAAGAGGCAGAGGGTGAGGAAAGATTCCGTTCGAAGTCTGTGCTTTGAGCTGCTGATGAATGTTCTCATTCCAGCTTCCCACCCATTGCTGCTTGTCCTGTTTTAAGAGCTTTACTTCTGACTGGTGCTCATTGCTTTGGAATGTTTCTATTAACTGCTCAGTGGGAAACTAAGGTGGATTTTTAAAAAATAACATTAAAACTTTAAACATCTAAGAAAGGTGAAATAATTTCATATATTACATAAAATAGTTTAAAAACAAAGTAAACCTGAAAGTATTTATTTTTGAATAAGATTTTGAGAAAAGTGCATTATTAAGTATATAGTAGACGTAACATTGCTAAGACTGACTTTGAAAAACTACTTATAATTGTTGCATTTTGCAGTTGGAATCAGAGGAAGATAATGTCTCCAGAAATTTGCAGCTAATTTGGAGATTATCATGAATAAGAATTTACGATTATAGATAATTTCCTTTCCTATAATACATGTCCCCTTTAGGCAGAAATCAACAAGAAATACATTCAACATATCCAAGGTCTATATAGATTTGGATGTAGATTTAGTTATTTAAAAATACCTAATTGGTTAATTTAGCTCATTCGCAGAGAGTTGTGTATAGGTTTATGGAAATCAGATGATTGATAAAATATAAAAGTCACTTGGTAACTGAGAATTGTCCTGCATATCCAATTATACATTGTACATTTTAGTGAATTGGAATGAATTTGTTAAGCATTTTGACAATGAATTTGACAGCAAATTGAATGAATTCTTCAGCATTTTTATTTTTGCCTTTTAAAGTTTGATTTGGTTGTAAATGAAATTAGATTGTTCTCTTATCATAACATCGTGGGTACCAGAAATACAAACTGTATCCCCAGTACAATATTTCTGCTCAGCAGTGTTATTTTTAAAAGGTACAGAGTTATAACATGAAAATAAGGATAAAATAGATATTTTTCCAAAAAAGGTATCTGAAAAAGGAGAGAGAAAGTTGGGGGGGGGGGGGAGGGGGGGAGAGAGAGGGAGGGAGAGAGGGAGAGAGAAAGAGAGAGAGAAGGAAAAAAAGAAACCAAAACAAACCAGTCCTTCAGGGATAGAACATGCGGTTCTTTTCCTTCACCCACTACTCATAACACTCCTTAAACAAACACAAACTGTTAACTCTAGTGCCCTTTGAGAGAAAGGTAAAAGGTTATGAACTTGAATTTGGAGAATATTTTTCTATAGTTATTTTAAATGAGAATAGCAAATTACTTCTTTTTTTCCTTGTAGATGTAAAGAACAATTCTAAATGATGAAATATGGATTTTTTTTAACTTTTGCAAAGAATTTTCTCTTTTATAGCCTTGTCTGAAAGATTCCAGTAAAGCAAATTATCTGAAAATGAAATTAATTTTTTTTGTTTTGTTGTATAGAAATATTGTGAACAATGTTTTTATTTCATTTGTTGCTTTAAAAAAATTCCAAACCCAAATATAAACTGGAAAGCAAAAGCAAGCCTATGGATCTATTCTTCTCAATCCCCTTTCAGTATTTAAAAAAAAAAGTGAAGATTTTGACATCAATTCTTAAAACAATATTTCAGTTGAAGCCGCAGCATCAAGGGGAATCCCTGTGCAAACCATTAACAGCTGAGGGTTAGATTAACACGGCAATGATCCTATCCTCTCCCAGGGACCAATTTCATTTTCTACACTAGCAACAGAGGCTTGCCACGTCCTTCAAATAGGTGATTGCAAGAAAAATGGTAGTATGTCTTTTGTTCATTCGTTTGTGAAGAATTATGCTTTGGATAACAATTCCAAATAAGCATGTGGCCTTGGAAAAAATAAGTGGAAATCAAAGCAAACACGTTTTCCACTTTGCCATTCATGTAATAGAAATGTTGTACGCAGACGTTGAAGAAAAACAATGTTTTTTGAGGATAATTTCAGGATTACATAAAATTTCAGATGTCTTAAAGATTAATGGCATATGTACCATGTTGATAGAAAAGACACATGCTACCTCTTTCAAATCTTTATGTCAAGGAAAATATTAACCATGGACAAGATTATATCTTGTTTACAAGCCTGTTAGACAGACCATGATCTGTAATAAAAGTCCACTGCCCTAAGAACCAGATTCTGGGCAGGCTTGCATCTGTTTTGCTCTTCTGAAATCCAGTAGGCAGCCTTCCTAGTCAGATACTGGTCAAAGTTACAAACAGATATGTCTATTTATTCTAGTTAAACACAGTGTATCGTGCAGATAATCTGCCTTTCTAACAATTAGCATCATGTGTAACTGTAAAAAAATTAATCTTGTTTTAACAAAATATTTACCAAATCTATTTTTTAAGCATACATATCTAAAACTTGTGAAATATCCAGCTACTGACTTGAATGTTAATGAGTGAAAAATAATCACGTTTTTTTTTCCTGCTTGTTTAAGTAGAACTCAATTTCCAATCCTTCCTTAGAAAACCGGGAGTTCATTTGTTACTTCCTTCCAGTGTTTCTGCTTCCATAAATTGCATCCTCCCCAGAGAAGTTTTATTCCTGATATAAATATCTACAGTATGTTTGTTTTTAATGGGTTCATTTATTCTGTTGAAACAGCAGATTATAAATCAAATTGCAGTAAGTTAGAGGGATAATTTAAGTAGGTAAATTTTCAAATAAAGTTGGGGACACTCCACTTTTAATACATATGGGTCACTGCCAATTTACTGTGGAGCTAGCTCCACAATGTTCAGCCATATATATGCATACTTTTACTGGCCATGCCTGCTATGGAATTTTCCATTCCTGACAAGAAAGTTTCAATTCATCCAAAAAAAAAAAATTAAAAAGGAGGAAATTAAACTTCTCTGAAATACTTCTGACTCCTTGGGGTGGGGCCAGAGAATAAAGAAAAATTGTATACTGGGTTTTTATGCCAGGGGCTTTAGCATGAGAAGCTAAATGTTGCCTTGGCAAATCAGCCCTAACAAACGAATGTTTATCGTTTTGGATGATGACTTTAATAAGCAGCAATTCATTGTCCAAAAGAAGAGATAAATGAATCTATGAAATGTTAATAATACCTTATTAATACTAAATTTGTATTAACCTAGAAATAATTATTAAAAATCCTCATGAAAGGAAAATAAATTTTAATTACTTGTTGGTTTGTTAACTATGTTTGAGAGAATCTCATTTCCTCTTATAATTTGCATTAGAAAACTAATAAATAGACTTTGTCTTTGTTATTAATTATGTAACTTCAGAAACTGCTGTTAGAAGAACTTTCCCTGGTGAATGCAAGTTTCATTGCTTATTGGTCTGGATTTGAGTGCTTATTCAATCGAGTAATATATTTCCTGTAAAGTAAAGAATATAGCAAATTCCTTTCTTCCAAATCTCTCACATTGTGTTTATAAAGGTTTATGGCTTTATGGTTACTGTTAAGAAGAAATTAAGTGATTGTTTTATAAATTTAATACTATTTCACAGTAAGAATTAGTAGTACACACTTTATCTGTTTGCAGATGGTAAAGGTAATATTATCTCTTATTATTACCAAGCAAAAATCAATATTCCACTAGATGGAGCAAAAGTGGCAGTAGCTTCACAGATGGGCAGTGCAAACTCCTGGATCCAGCTGAAGAGATTTTGAAGTAAATAAGTAACAAAATTTCTCAGAAAAATCTCTCTCTCACTCTCTCTACATACACACACACACACACACACACACACACCACACACACACACACACACACACACACACACACATACACAAGATCTAATATATTAATTAATTTTTAACTTCTTGGAGTTTTAAGGATATTTGTAGTAATCTTGTTTAAATATTTTCTGACTCATGAAGCAAGATTATTAGAAATAAAAATATCTATTTTTCTTAGTTTATCATAATCTGGCCAAATCAGAACACTCAGCTATAATGACAGTTATGGGATAATATAAAGTGGCAGATTCCTATGAGTATGGTACATAAGTCTACTTATTCTGAAATGTGCTTTGATATTTCAGAAGTTTGCAATGAGAGCATTACATCAAATGTTACTGGCTTTCTTAATGACAACAACATGAGAGTCATTTTAGGGCTCATTCACGCTAATAATCTCAGACCTTAAATTAGCACTGAGATGCTGAAAGGGTGAATGTCATGCCCACTGTCACACTTCTGTCCCTGGTGATGGGTAGATTCAGATGGAGATGACTTTGAAAACTCATTAGTTTCTAATTCTCAATCCCCAAATAACATTTATTTCTAATTTATTGATTATTTTTTAATCTCAACATTGAAACTGAACTTTATTTTGTAAAAAAACAAGGATTAATACTAAATAGTAATGTAGTAATGTAGCTTTTTTACAGTAACTGAACATTGACAAATTTCTCGTGATGAGAAAAAATGTTATGTAAAATACATAATCAGTTCACTAGCTAAAGAAATAAGCTACTTTTCATTTGCTGAAACATATACTTCAAACCCAAGAGAAAACTGCTGTTTGGGGGAATTCATGAAGAAAATAGGACCATGGGAGGAAAGCCTCTCTATATGTAGGTTGCTGATTATAGGATTTTAATGTCTCTATGTTTAGATCACTTTCCTGGTCTTACATTCAAACTTAAGGCATAAAAGGTGTCTAATATTTGGGAATTCCAAGCTCCCGTGCTACCCAATACTTCATCTTCATGTGATAAAGTAAACTCATTATATACATACATATTATATCACCCTCTTCCCACAGGATGGGGTTTAGAGAGTTTAAATTCCCAAGTGCAGAGTCATGTGCTGAGATTGCAGGGTGGAAGGGGTAAGGGGGACTGAAAAGAGAAAGAGGAAGGTGCTTTGGTTTATGATTCAAGGTCTGGTGAGAACATTTTTGAAAATCTAGGCGCTATTTTCTGCAAACCAGGGCTTTCCGAGCTTGATAATCATTTCCCAGCTGTCTCACTTAGGTGAATTGTTTTTAGTTGTGGGCATTCTATGGCTCTTCTTTCACATGTGTATTAAAAGAGAATCAGATTCATTTTGCTGATAGAAAGCAGGGAATAGAACTCCCACAGCTGCTTCTCTCTTTCTTTGTGTCTTGAGGAAATTTAGGCTTCATGCTAATGAGTGTGGGTTGGAGTGGGGGGAGGCTTGACGGTAGTGTGTCAGGCATATTTCAGCTCCGTTTGTGTCAACCCTAATAAGTCAGTTGATGGACTAATAAATTGGGTGTCTGCTCAAGACCTGGCACCTGCACAGGAAATAGAAAAGTATTTCAATTGCAGACAGATTTTTTAGAATTTTTATTTACTATTATTATTTTTTACAAATGGAAGTTTTTCAAGGCCGTTTTCAGTCTGTTATTGAGATCTTGGTATCTTACTGCCCATTTCCGTTGTTACTGGAACTGACAAGGAAGACAACATATTTTTTAAAAAAATATTAAACTGAGGGAACATTTATATAAGGCTGGTGGTGTTTGCCCATTTAATAGTGTGTTCCTGTGTCTTGTGCTATGCCTAGCACTTAGTAGGCTCTTCATATGAATTCATTGAATGACTGCCTAAATCCATGGATGAACCTGCTTTGATATCATGCGCTAATACTTCAGCTATGAAGCTATAGACGACTTCAACTTTCTACTCAATTTTGTTTTAATCTTTCTTTCTGGTTCAGTTGTTTTTAGGCAGAGGTTTTCAACTGGGGAAAATTTTGCTCCCCAAGAAACACTTGGAAATATCTGGGGACATTTTTTGTAGTCATAGCTGGGGTGAGAAGGAGTGCTCCTAAATCTAGTTGCTAGACAACAGCAATGCTGGAATGCATTCTATGATGCACAGGAAAGGCCCTCAAAACAAAAAATTACTTGGCCCAAAATGACAATAGTGTTAAGATAAAGAATTCCTGTTTTAAAGAAATTGGTAGATTGAAGCATATAAAATTGATATTATTTGCCATTTTTAACCTAAAACTTGAATTTTATATGGGTAACCCCTACTAATGAACAATAGTGAGCAATTTTAAGATTTCATAGTTTCAGTAAATGTTTCCACACAAAAGCCTCTTCCAAAAAAGGATTATCCTATCCAAATGTCAACAGTGGCACTGTTGTGAAGCCTTCATCTAAACATATGAAAGTAACCCACCAAGCTAACAAGCTTTACAGTAGAATTGTTTCCAACTTCTACTTTGACTAATATACCTTCATAAAAACTTGGAAGGCAGGCTTTAAATGTTCATTTCATATATTCCTTGGAGTTTCTGCAACAGTGTGGGAGCCCTTGGCTCATGACTTGTCCTGCCCCTGGAGGGACCTCACGTACCTGTGTGCGGACATCGCAGACTCCTTGTTCCAGCTCTGTCTATATGCCCCCAAATAGCCACCCTTGGCCACCCTGTCAGGTTGCAGGGTTTGCACACTTGCAGAGGCCTGTCCTCAGAAAGAATGGCTCAGAAAAGAGGCTCGAGCAGGCTCAGGGCCGCTGCAACGGTGGATTCTACAGTATTCAGAGTATCACTCAAATTGGCATTGTGGTAGGAGTCCAGGGTGAGCAATTCCTTAGAGTCAAGGACTGGAACTCACAGACAAAACTGCTTCTTCCAACCATGTAATCTCAAATTGGAAATTGAGTTTTTAATGTGTGGTGATGTGAACTCTTTTCTGAAATTGTAAGCCTTTGGCATTTCTCTTAGTTAAGTATATTTATGCTGTTATAGCCTAGTGTTCTGTTTTATGGGTGAAATAATAATAACTTGAAATATTAAAGTATAAGAGGTTTTTTTTAAAGCTATTAAATCACAGTCAAAGTCATATGATATTAAATTCAAGAATAAAGTCAAAGGGCTGGATCTTTGAAAGACTCAGTATGCTAATTCATTGAAACTGACCCTGTAAAGGGAAATACTCTAAAAATAAAAAATTTTAGTAGTGTAATCATCGGCACTACTTCTTCCACTCTTATCTAAAATTAGAATATTTAAGAAATTTCTCAGAATTTTGAGCACCAAACTTGTTGATGACTTTTACATATACCTTTATTAACCAGAATAATTAATTCCTTTTATATTTTAATAATGAATATCAAAGGAAAAGTTAACTCAGTAAAGCTTATAAAAGTGACAAAACAAATCATCTAGAATCTAATCTTAAATTTGATCATATTAAACTTGAAAAAAAAATCCTTCCTAAAATGAAGGTATATTTTATAGGGTTTTGAAAGTAAAAATAAGAATTTATAGATGCTTGATAAGTAGGTGGCTTAATATATTTTAGTGTATGAGTTTTAGAAACAATTGTTTATTTTGATTCGGTTTGTATACCTGATTTCTAAGGAAATATTTTCCCTAATATTTTGAAAACCCTAGTTTATATTACTTATAAGAACTATAGAAATGCTCTGAGAATCCAATACCTGATCATAAGTATAACATGTAAGAAACATTAAAGGAGTGTGTGTGTGTTCTTGTGTGTGTGTGTGTGTGTGTGTGTGTGTGTGTGTGTGTGTGTGTCTAAGATAGAATAAAAAGGAAGGAGGAAAAGGAGAAGAGACAGAATTGATTTAGACAGAAGTAACTTTAACATAAAGGCAAATTTTATGAGATCAAAAATTCGAAAGCAGTATGCAATTTGCAGCACTTTAAAATATGGGCGTCTATAATTTTCTGCCTTTTAAATTTCCTTTATAAAGTATCCTTAATATATTCTTCAGTAAGATTTAGAAATGACAGTCACAGAAACTAAGTTGTAGTCTTGTCATATTGATGTTGTATGGGTTCCATGAAAAATATTTTAAGATACATAAAAAGGAAACGGTCTTTTAAATTTCATGAAATTGAGAGCACAAACAGCTGGCATCCGTGATGCCTATGAAATAAAATAAAATTTCATGTGAATCATTTTGATATGAAGGAATTTGACCCTTTAGAAAGAATGATAGAGATGAAACAAAGTAGAAGAGTTTCATTTTTTCATATAAATATATTAATTTTAAATATTATCTAAAATAATTGAGCATAATTTTATTTCTAAAATGTTATATAATCACTGCTTGTGAATTTTGTCTTCCAGTCTATTTTTCAGGAGTGTTGAGCTGACCAGTTATATTTATATCTGGGAGAACTACAGGCTGTTCAATTTGCCTTGGGATTCTCCATGGACTTGGTATTTAACCTTCTTAGGAGTTGACTTTGGCTACTACTGGTTCCATCGTATGGCTCATGGTAAGTTGCAGATGAGGACTTTTTGTTAATTTATGTTGAACTGTGTTTGGTACATAGTACATATTCAGTAAATATTTATTAAATGGATAAATATAGGAATAAAATAGTATATTTTACAGGATATCAAAGTTAATAGTGAAGGTTCACTTTGCAATTTAAGTGGTGAAAATCTGAAAGCATATTTTTAAAATGATATGAAATGATTGGAAGTACATTTTTTCACTTCTTTCTAATTTTAAAAAAGTTTAAAAAATGATGGCTATAGCATTGCCTTTTATCATTTATCATCTGGTTTTTAATAAAAAATTTAATTTTTATGGGGGTAGCAGTCAGAATCCAAACAAGGTCCATCCATTACACTTGGCTGTTGGGGATGAGATGGTTTTTGTTTGTTTTTAATTTTTTATTTCAATAGTTTTTGGAGGAACAGGTAGTGTTTGGTTACATGAATAAGTTCTTTAGTTTTGATTTCTGAGATTCTGGTGCATCCATCACCAAAGCAGTGTACACTGTACACAATGTGTAGTCTTTCATCCCTTGCCACCACCCCCCACCCTTTCCCCCGACTCCCTAAAGTCCAGCGTATCATTCTTATGCCTTTGCGTCCTCTTAGTTCAGCTCCCACATGAGTGAGAACATATGATGTTGGTTTTCCATTCCTGAGTTACTTCACTTAGAATAATAGTCTCCATTTCCATCTGGGTTGCTGTGAATGTCATTATTTCCTTCGTCTTTATGGCTGAGTGGTATTCCATGGTAAATATATACCACATTTTCTTTATCCACTCATTGCTTGATGGACATTTGGCCTGGTTCCATATTTTTGTGGTGAAAAGGGAATACATTTACACTGTTGGCAGAAAGGTAAACTAGTACAACCACTATGGAAAACAGTGTGGAGATTCCTTAAAGAAGGAAAAGCAGATTCACTGTTTGATCTGCCAGTTGATCCAGGAATCCCACTGGAATTACTGGATTCCCACTGGATTCCATTGGGATTTCTGGATCAAATGGTGGATCTACTTTGCCTTCTTTACTGAGGGGAAAAGAAGTCATTATATGAAAAAGATACTTGCACATGCATGTTTATAGCAGCATTGTTTTTTAATGTGTTGTCTTCTATTATTGTTATTATGGCATGCACTTGATAGAGTCTAAAGATGTACACAATATCAAACTTCACAGCACAATTATCGAGGGTCATTCAGAAGTGATTTGCAACAGTGTGGAATTCTAAGTGATGTGTTCTGTCATAATAAGCTTCATTCAATTTGTTGGCAGTACTTCCACATTACAAATGAAAATGTAATCAGCTAGGCACTGACCATATGCACTTCACTGTTACCATAGTTTTGCAAAATTTCTCATCTGCAAAAGCTGTCTTACTGCACTGGTTCACTGAATTTGCTTTTTGGGATTCTTGGCTGCACTTCCAAAGAAATGTTTTGTTATAGAAAGGGAAATGGAAGAGTGAGGAACGAATATAGGACTGAACCTCTGTAGGGATAAGTAGGGGCTGAGGAATGGTTGTAGAGCTAAGGTGAGCAAGCAGTCTCTGAGGAACAATAAGCATGCCAAAGTATTTCTGAAGGGAAGAGCGGGAAAGTACTAATCTTGAGAAACTACTGAAGAACAGAACTCAGGATTTCAGTGGGTGGTTGGTTGAGTGGGTGAGGAGGAAGGAAGGAAGTGGAAAGAACCTGGAATAATAATAATAAATAGATGGCAGATGGACAGAAGAGACCAGAGCTCAGGGTGAATAACTGAGCTATCTGTGTAGGAGTGGTGACCAAATATCATTCTTAAGCAAGGACGAAGGAAATAGTAGCATGGATTTGTGTTATGCTCGAGACTGCTAAACTTTAAATATAGCATTGTTTATGTTACCCACCTTAAACGTGCATTTACTGAAACTCTACGGAGATTTAATTTATTAGAACAATTTTAAGTGAATATATAAGTCAGGAAAAGTTAATAATTTTGTATGTGATAACCTTCAACTTCGACACATAAGAGGTCAGTTCCTGACATTATTTCCTCATATATAAATGCAGAAGCTACTCCAAAATCAAACATAATTAAGAAGAAAACATGGTTTACATAATAAATTTGTGTTTTATTTCAAGCTAGTTTTCTCCCTAAAATAAACTCATTGGCAATCTTCCTCATTTTCTAAGCAACAAAGTGGTATCGCGGAAAGCGTTTACTTACTTTCACGAACCTTCCTCATACCACACTGCCCAACATGGATGTGTTTATTTGGGAAATCTGCAAATTTGCTTACTCCTTGAAAGCCCATTATAACAGGAAACAAAGAACCAACAAAATATTACCAATATAAAACTCTTAAAAATATGTTGATTATAAGTGTTCTCAGTTGGGAAGAGCAATAAAATAAAATAACATATTAAAAATGTGGCATCAAGGCTATTTAAAGTATGCTTCTCATTAGAAATTTTGAACTGAATCCAGTAAAAAAGGCAGGCGTTAAAAAAAAATTTGAAAACCTTCTGGAAAAGCATTTACAACCTTTGGGCTATGGAGCCAAATCATAAGTTCAAAGACTTTTGACTTGTAATGGAAAGCTAGTAGGAAAAAAGTAATTTATTTAATATATCAACCTTCAATATGATGCTTCATTTTTAAATTTATATGTAAATAATATTGTAAAATATTAAAATAGATTTTCAGAAATGTAGAAACACACAAAGCTAAAAGAAAATAGGGGCTCCAATTTTTTGAGCCTCTTGGATTACTGAGTCCAAATTGAATAACTGGTCAAAATCATTTAATTTAAAAGTGTCAATAATTCTGAAATACATATGTCATCTTAAAATATAGTAAGAAAAAAAATCCCTACTTTTTCTATTCAATGTATTACTTTCCTTTCACTACTTCAAAATGATATAGCAAAAACATATTTCATATTTGTTAGTATGTTAAATGCTATGAGTTTTGAAGAAACAATATATTATGTATTTAAAATTTTGTCTTTATATGTATTTAAATTGCTTCCTTAGGATTCCATATTGTTGCTGGATTTGGTGTTGCGATTTGTTTGTATTGCATACATGTCGCATTTTCTCAGTTATGGGACAGTAAGCAGAAAATAGTTTATTCTCAACATTTGCATTCCATCTCCATCACTAATGCCAAGATATTGAAGTTCTGTATGCTCTTTATATTTGTCTTCTTCCTCTGGAATGAGAGAGAAATTGCTAATTATGGTCGGCAGTACAGTAGTTTCTATAGACAGCTTTGATGTTAAATAGAATGTTAAATAATTCTTTAAATGTAGCTTTGTGCTTTCTTCTCCTCATCAAAATAGTGCATTATTTTTCTTTGTACTTTTTACTTAGTTGTACTAAACATGTAAGGAAACAGGTAAAGATTTTTAAGGAAACATTTTTAAAAACTGATAATTATTTCTTGGGAAGAACAAGAATGAGGCCTTCGGGGTGCTGCTAATAAACTCTATCTTGCCTTATGGTGGTGTTTACATGAGTGAATAGATTTGTAAAAATTCATTGAGTTAGTTATGCACTTAAAATTTATACATTTTCTCTATATATAAAAAGTTAAACTCATAAATAATGCCACCAGTGTAATTTCTTGGTTTATACTCCTAAGGTAGAATGCCATAGTAGAAAACTAAATTTAGAAAAATAATACAAGAGGTTATGATTTGTGATTCTATTATAAATATGTGACTTTATACAGTTTTTAACTGTATCAGTTTTCAACAACCAAGTATGGGGAAGTGCCAGCATGCCAGTTATTAATTTATTGCCTCTCATCTCCAAATCTATTCTTCTTTATCATTCCTTGTATTACCAAAGCTGCATGCTGTAGACGTTTCTCTTTTGTCAGCTGACTTGATGTTAGACTTTGCCAATTTAAGGGGCCGGAGGGACACTGCAAATCCAGAAGATGAGAAAGAGACTTTGCCTCCACTTTCCATCACGCTATTTTCTATCTGGCACATAGAAGTTTGGTATGTGAGGGTCCTGATACTCTTCACCTCTTGCTCAGCTGTAGCCTATACCCTCTGACAAGACTCTCTGCCATTCAGGGGGCCACACCAAAAAACTAGCTGTGGGTCATTCACTCTGGGACCTCCATGCTCTATTTAGTAAATTTCTCTGTCACCAGCAGAGTTCCAGTGGTAGCCACAACCTCTCCAGAGATGCCTGAGTGCACGAGTGGTGGTATGAGTGTGTGAGTACATGTGTGGAACTCTTCTAAAGGTGTAAGTACCTGCTTGGTTCTCTCTTCCTCAGCTCTGTAGGAAGTAGCTGCATTCTGTGGTTGCTACTTTTGTAACATTGAATTCCTTCATTCTTACATCTTTGGTAGTTAAATCCCTCTTTACCAGTTAATATTTCTTTATATTAGCTTTTCCTTATTCAAGTTGCTAATTGGGTTTCTGTCTCCTGATTGGACCCTGACCGATACAGGCAGCCTCGTCGTATATTACATAGAATAACAAATTTGAGTTTTCATATTAAAAAAGCTCAACAATGCTAATCATTACAGAAATAAAAATCAAAACCACAATAAGATACCATCTTACACCAGTCAGAATGAATATTATTAAAAAGTCAAAAAATAACAGATGCTGGCAAGGTTGCAGAAAAAAAGGAATGCTTATACACTGTTGGTGGGACTGCAAGTTAGTTCGGCCATTATGGAAAGCAGTTTGGAAATTCCTCAAAGAACTTAGAATTATCACTTGACACAGTAATCCAGTTATTGAGTATATACCCAAAGAAATATAAATTGTTCTGTTATAATGATACATGTATGTGTATGTTCAATGCAGCACTATTCACAATAGCAGACATCGAATAAATATATATGCCCATCAAAGATAAAGTGGATAAAAAAATGTGGTGTATATATGTTATGGAATACTATGCAGCCATGAAAAAGAATGAGGCCATGTCCTTTGCAGCAACATAGACAGAGCTAGAGAACATTATCCTAAGCAAACTAAGAAA